CTACTAGCTGGCTGCGTACCCATGATGTGTGGTTGTATCTACACTTTTAATTTCTATTGAAAGAAGAACGTTTTCAAAGAACGAGCTGCTGGTGTGTATTTTTGCTTTGTTTCTATAGCTCCACGACAACTGAGCTGTCTTCTCTCTTGCCGATAAGTACTAGCTACTAGTCGTCAGAGCAGGAGGATCATTGTAGCTAGTGCAACACATGAGCCCAGTTGGTCACCTTCTTGGGATCAAAGGTCAATAAACTGAAAATAGTGCCTAGTTTCTCTCTCAGCGTGAACTCTTCTTGTGGGTGTTTGGCGGTGCTGATGGTGGCGGCTGCACTGCTAGTAGAGCTGAGGAGTGATCGTCCTTGGAGACTTGCAAGTGAACTGGAGAGTGCCCTTTGTGAAACCGGCAGTGAGATAAGAAAGAAGCCGTAGCTGGGTCCAACAGATCAGGTAATGTGTAACAGCCTTCTAACAATGCCAGAGAATTTATTTCAGCGTTGTCACCGGTAAATTCGCTATACAACGGTTCGGCCATAGGTGGAGTGGTATACGGCGCTCGTGTTTGATCATAGCGTGCCGTGTTTTCTCGCATGCATCCATCTTCTACAAGGCGGCGGTCAGTGATGGTCCGGAGACTGGTAGTGCCATCTGGTAAGTGTGCTTCAATTTGAATAGCCTGAAGTCCCCCTGTAGATCCTTTGCTCTGGGCGCGACGACGGCGTCTCGCCTCCTCTCTTTGCTTCATTCGTCGTAACCGAAAGAATCTATCACGGGCCTTCCAAGACTTCCACTGATGCTTCTTTGCGTCCTTGGTTTGGACTGTCAAGAAGTCTTTCCTCCATCGAGCTGCGTAGGTGTGTTTGGCCTGCTTGTACAAGGCGCGCTCTTGCTTCAGGCAGTCCTCCAGATCACCCTCTGACTTCCTCCAAGCTTGTGGCAACGCTGTTTTCTTCATCAACCGGCGAACTTTGCGCGAACTGACACGGCAACCTTTCTTGCCTTTCAACAGAAGCTTCCACAGGCTCATACGATCCCAGAATCCCTGCATTTTTGGTGACCAGGGAACTTTACCTGGAGCTAAGGCCCGGCACTTCTCTTCCGCCTGGCGCCTCACAGTATACATTTGTCTGTGTAAACAATTGTATTTGCGCACCAAGGGAGGGGTCATCTGGTGTCCCAGGTGGTCAATACGCTTATTCAGCTTATTCAATCTCTCCGGGATGGAGTACTTGGCATAACCTTTGTGAACCAATTGAAGATATTTGCGGACAGATCGAGAGTCTTGAAGGGACAACTTCCGTGGCTTGAAGTTGGATTTCTGAGGTTGGAAGTTGCCCAAGGAGGCGGAAAGATCAATGTCAATCCACAATCCGCGATGATCGCAATCGAAGAATTCGTCAAAGGCATAGTACCCACCCGCAAGGATTGGTACGCCCGAAGTGGTGAAGATACCATCAATCGGAATGTTCCGTTGGTTGCGCTGGTGGGTCGCTTGCGGTGGATGGTGTTTTAGGATCGCCTCCTCAAGACCGCAGGCCCGGAAGCGGTGGCGGATAGACTGGGGTGCGTTAACAGTGACATCCTCATTTGCATCTATACCCAAAACCACCTCACATCCTTCATCACGCCATTTGGTGATCTGTTTGCAAAGATCGTCCACAAAGGCTTTCCGTGGATTAACTTTTCGATTCACTGCGTGAAAGTGAAGCCTGTGTTGTGCCCATACTGTAGATCCACCGAGGCCTTGCTTGTTGGGACGATACGCGGAGACAACCACTAAGTCCTTGGAGATCGGACCACGAACAAAGTCATTTACCTCAACCAAAGAGTCCTGAACATTACCCCCATGGGCTTTCAACTTCCTTCCTTGGAGACGGACATAGGCCCATCGTCCTAAACCCGTGGGGTCTCTGCCAGCTTCCTTAGCCCTGTGCGCCACTTGGTTCAAAACGGTTGCGATGCACCCACCCCATTGTACCGCCGAGGTGGCAGCAGATCTGTCCTGATGCCGATTGTA